TTCAGACACATAGGTCAGTGTAGTATGTTAAAACCTCCCCTGGACTGAACTATGAAGAACTGTAAGTATTCTTTCGGTCCATAATGAAAACAAAAATAGGGGAAGGGTCACCCCTGAACCTTCTTCTTTATCCTTGTATCTGACCCTCGGTTCTCTAGACTTCATCACTTACTTGATAATGAAGCAAACAAACACAACCAGAAGAGAAGAAAGGCAGAATGAGGGTGCACTAATGGCCACAAATAAGTTCACTTAGAGACTGAAATAAAAGCTAAAAAGGAGAGTGAAGTGTTCTATCTAAAGGTAAGTATGAAAGAAACGAACAGGCTTGCCCTTTGCACTGGAGCATAGGGATGACCATGTTCTTGAATCTGGCATCCTGTAGAAGAGAAGAAGGGAGCTTCAGCTCTCCCTCAGGGCACAGAACCCGTGGTTCTACCACTGCCTGTCTACCTGTTACTACTTTTATCTGAATGGTCTCAATTATTTGAGGTCCATCAGTCTTTCCATGTACAAAAGCGAACTCACTATCTTGTCTTGCAAAACCTAATTTGCTCTTCTGCTCCTCCCACTCATGATAAGTGGATCAACTTATCCACCAAATACCTCCCAATTGGAGCCTAAAGGTCTTTTCTGAATCTTTTCATTCTCCAGCCAACTCAAATATCCAATTAATCTCCAAGATCCAGTGATATCTTCCATATTATTTTATTATGAAAAAAAAAATCTGAGCAGACAAAAGTGAAAATGATATGAACAATTGAATTTAGCTGTCGTTCAGGTCATCTGCTTTCCTTTTCTTCCCCATATCATTAACTTTTAACAACAGTATTTCTGAAGCACAGTCCATTTCTTTCTTCTTGACTCTGATTTAGTTAATTCTCCAAGTCTTATGGTGTTCCACCACATCTATCTGGATCTTAGCTAGTTTTACTTGTATTTTAATAATTATTTTGAAACTCGATCCAATCATATATTTTATTAAGTAAAATCTGTTGATAGCCATCCTCAATGCCAGCAAGAGTGTTTCCAGAACCTCGCCATGCATTCTTTCAGTGTTAACAATGCCTAGCTGCACAAATTTTTGCCCTGCAGCCTCTAACCTCACACCTAGTGATCAACAGTATAATTTTCCTCCATATTGTGCTGTTCCTGCAGGCATCCGGGTATCTGAGTAAACTCTTTTTCTTCACTTGAATTATTGTAAGGTTCCTGTTCTTTGCCTAAACTGTTGTTTTTACTGAAGTACCTGGTACAATCATCACTTTCTCTTCAAAACCCTTACTACAAATACTCTTCACTCTTTTACGGTGAAAATGACCCCAGGCAGCGAATCTTTTCTCTGAGTTCCCTCTGCACTGCTAAATACCGCTTTATTTGTTGCATGCTCTACACTCTACTAATTTCAGTCTTCGTGCATCTTTTCCAATTGTGTTGGATCCCATTGAATGAGGGGCTATGCATGTGCCTTTGTTCTTGTATGCATGCTAGAGATGAGCTGGCAGGAAGTGTTGATGACAGAAGGCCAAATATTTTCTCCTATTAACCATTTTCAATAACACTTTAAAAGTTACCTCAATTTTCACTATATTGTAATGTGTTTTCAAGTAATATCCTAGGCTAAATATATTTTCAGTAATCCCACAGGAAAATCTAAATGTTGAGTTACACTGACTAAGTAGTTTGACCCATCAGTTGTTTTTTAACATTCGTAAGAAGAACACAAAAGAAGCAGAGTTTTATTTTCCAAAATTATCTCTATCTAAAGGAATTTTCTCCTTGAAGATTAATTATGAAGCTGGACCCTGCAAAGTTTAAGGGTATTTAAATAATTCACACTTATATATTACTTACTTCACAAAGATAATTTCTTGCCTATCTCTCTACTATCTTGAGGGAAGAGAGGAAGTTACTTTCAGATAAGTGGTATGTTACTGAAAAAGATTTATGTGTGACCATTAGGGAATAGAGGGGCCATATCATATATCCAGTCCAAGAGATAGGCTGATAAAGAAAACTTTTTATTGCCAAATTCTTGATAAGGAAGCTAAAAGGCCAGAGTCCAAAACTATACAAGAGGGAGACACAAAAAATTAATATCAAATTTTTCTCGCCTCCTAATAGGTTACCCCAGAATAGTAAAATTATGTGGGAATTAAATAGCATATTGGTATGTTAATTTATTTTCAGAAACAGGATCAGGTGGCACAAAGTATTTCATTTTCTTGGATCTTGACCAATATCTCAAATCTAGTGAGTCCTTTTTCTCTGCATTTTTGCATATAATTTTTGCAGCTATATTCCACAAGGGATGTACTCCTCATCGTTTTCTGTATTACCAATAACTCATCTGAGCATAATTTCTTTTAAAGTTTAATATAAACTTCTCCCAGTATGCTGTGAAGGGAGGCCAATTCAGAGATATAAATGAAAACTTTTATTTTAATAAAAACTCAATTATATGCTTCTCCGTTAACTTGCTTCTAGAATGTGAACTCTGACAGGAGGGCAGAGATCCTGACTTTTTGATTAGTTTTTACTTATTTCCCAGTATAGACATTTACATGTGGGAACTGAGAAACTCCATAAATATTTTGAGGAACTAAATGACTGAATCAAACCCAATGTGGGTAAAATATTCTTCTTAGGCTTCAGTTAGGTGGCTCTTGTTCAGTTTATAAGCTACTCAGTTAATGTTAATGAACTGATTCAGTTTCTATTGTGTGCATAGGTATATATTTCTTCTTCCTTAATATACACATGCACCTATTATTAAAGTATTAACTTTCAGTGTTTTATATAAAATTATTCACAGTTTAGCTCATCTTATATTTTCAGCAATACTTCTAAATCCCTCCAGATATGAAGAAAACTACCTGACCAAATACTAAATCTGATCACAATGTTTTAAATATTTTAAATTTTAATTTTTTCAAAAAATAGATAACTTTAAATGAATTATCTAAAGTATCAACACCTTCCAGTGTCTGATACCTGACAGAGTCAAACTATGAAGCTCCTAAAAGACCCTACATCATATCAGCTCTTGGGAGCTCAACTTTTTTTTTTAATATGTCTAAAAGTTTCTGGCTCTGGATCAAGCTGAGAACTGTTCTCCTCTTTACACAGGAATAAAATGGTCCCATCCTGTGGGCTAAAATTTTCTAGGAAATTAGTGATTTCAACTCAGTATACAGAACACTAACTATGGAAAGCAAGAAAAGGGTTTCATGCCACAACGCACAGACTCCTCCCCCCCCCCCAAAAAAATACTAAAATGTGATGCTAAACTGACTTTGCTCTATTTTTCTCATCAGTTAGAAAAGGCAGTATTTACTTTGTAAGCTTATGTAAGGTTTAAATTATTTAAAAGGATTTAGGGAAAAATACAACTAATTGTTGTTTATTATATTTGTGTAATGGTCTATATTTGTATTAAATATTACACATTTCGTCCTTTAGAAAAAAAAACTTGCTTCAAAAGAAGAATTGTACCAATGTGGTTTCCCAACCTAAATTATTTTTATACTGATTCCTCTACATTATCTCTTCATGTGCTCCAGTTAAGCTTTCTCTACATTGAGAAAAGCCACAATCACACTCAGGACGGTACTTTCGTCCAATATTTTTTGCCTTGACTTTCCTTCCTTCTTGCCTTCTCTCTAATACTTTTCATCTCTATTGTATCATTTTAGGTCCTAGGGCTTCCATTAGCAACATAGAACAACTTGATGGTTTAAATTGTTGGAATGTCCACTTTACAAGCTTTAATTTTGTGACTTGAACAATTATCTCTAAGATGACAATATGTAATCCATTAACTAGTGATTTCCTACTGTTTATTTTTTTCTGTAAATCTGTATAACTTGTACCCTTTCTCTGCTTTTTTTTCTCCTTAAATAAAAAAAAAAAAAAAAACAGTAGTCATTCAATCTCTCATGGCTGGCGAAGTTAGTAATCTAGAGTCAAGAGGCTGACAGGGCTGTGCTCCTTCCAGAGAATCTAAAGAAGAAACCTTTCATGCCTCTTCCTAGATTTGCAGTGATCATGACTTCTCTTCTCATCCCTTGGCTTGTAGCCACATCCTTTCAGCCTCTGCCTCTTCCTTCACATAGTCCTGACCTCTGTCTATATCCACCCTACTGAATGAGGACCCACTCTAATCCAGTATGGCCCCATTTTGGTTTGATCATATCTGCAAAGTTCCTCTTTCCAAACAAAGTAACTATGGAAAGCTCTAATGGAACAGGACTTGAATATACCTTTTTGAAGGACACGATTCAACTCCGGCAGGGTCTCATGTTGACTCAAAATATTCTTCTCTCCAACCCATTGTAATCACTTCTGAGAATATGTTTTCTAATTCAGTTACTTGACAGATAATATTAATATGCTTCCTGAATTTTTAAAAAAAATCTCTGAACCTATATCTTTTCTGGAAGTTATAAAGACTATGAGGATAAGGACCACGTTATAATTTATCTTTTGCATGAGTGTGGGTATGTGTGTATGTACACACAGAAAAGAATAATGCAAATAGTAGTAAAAGAAGCATTAAATAATAGAGCACAGATTCAATAATGCAAAATTTTGCCAGGAAAAAAATAATGACCATAAGTAGAACATGATAAAAGCATGTAAATTTATAATCCCGTACTTTTTATTTTTTACTTATTTTATGCTTTTGGATGTTTATAAAGTATTGTAAATTCACAATTGAGCATGTATTTATTGAAATATTTATTAGCAAATTATATAAAAATTTGAAAGCTAGTAGATCTGGTAGTTACATTAACTGTTTTTGAATTAAAAGATCCTTCTTTGGAATTATAAAGAAAGTGTCACATTATGTATCATGAATAAAAGGTGAATTCTTTAAGATTATCTTTGAAATAAACATCGCATTACCTTTCACTACTTAACAGTCAAAATACTAAGAGAAAATACAAGAAATTCGTAACAGTTGCATAAAATAATATTTTAAACTGGTATGTTCACAGATGACAATGAGTGTGGAAATTTAACCCAATCCTGTGGTGAAAATGCTAACTGCACTAATACAGTGGGAAGTTATTTTTGTATGTGTGCCCAAGGGTTTAGATCCAGCAGTAACCAAGAGAAGTTTATCACCAATGATGGAACCTTCTGTATAGGTAAGTTCAATTATGTAACTTAAAATTTATACATATATCTTATTGTTTATTTCTTCTGGAGATTCAGTAAGTAATATTTGAATAATTTTCTAGCACACCATGGTTGAGCTCTAGTTGTCAGATACTTCCAGATAGTTCACTAATTCTTTAATCTTTTTTTTTTTTTTTTTTTTTTTTTTTTTTTTTACCAGTACCAGAGATCGAACTCGTGACTGCCTGTTTGCAAGGCAGGCACTTATGCCACTGAGCTAAATTCCCAGCCCGTTCTTTAATCTTTATAATGTTATATTGTTGGTAACTACGGAACATTTATCAAACATGTAAGAAAAAGATACAAACTATTTTCTAACCATGTTCTGTAGAACTGAAACTTTAAGAATAAATGATAAATCATCTTTATCTTGTATATGAAAGTTCCTCAGTTTACCTACAACTTGTGTAATTAATTATGACTGATAATATAAATATGATTAATATATTAACAAAGTCTTGAGACTTTAAACACATAGCAAAAAAAAAAAAAAAAACCCATAATCCAGAATTATATACTGGTTACCTTACATAATTGAATAAAAGGGAGATAGGTAAATTAATCTAGATCACACTAAACACTTTGATTATTTGTCTGGTAGAATTGTCTTTAGTAGGCTAAGGAAATATCTGTGTAACATGAAAACAATAAATAGTAAACAGTGGTTAAAGATTTATTGGTGAAATATCTGTATCAGAGAAATCATAAACCTATGCTTCACACTTTTCTATTCTGCAAGGAATTTTATTTTCATTTTATAGTCAAGTAAAGTACTTGAGGTTTTAACATTTAAGATAAAAAACAGACTAAAATCACAGTCTTATGTCTAGAAAGCTGTTCTTACTTTCGCAGGAAACTTAAATGCATGAACTGTTTAAATTTCACAATGAAATTCAGCATAACAGATCAAGTTTGCATGATTTAAAATATAAAATAGCAATTCTATTATGATTCAACAATACTTTTATCTTTACTGATCTAGATCTGAGAATGTAGAACATTCTGCCCAGAAAATTTATGGCACCACTGTATTTGTTTTTTCAAGTCTGTGTTCTTTTTGCTAATCTACTTAACACATCGCACAATGTTATTAGCTTTAGCAAGGTTCTAATGTTCCCTGTTGGTGAAATCTAACTTGTAACATATTATAACTTAAGACTTTGTGTTCTCCATTTTCTAATACCTTTTGTCCCTGGAAAAAAACTGTATTATCATCTGATCCTATATTCATAAGGAGCTCTATTTATCTCTTTGTATTTCTTACAAATAGAGACTGCTTATTCTGGAAGAAATTTAATTACAAACACCAGAGAAAACCTACATACTCAAAGATGACAAATATCCAGCTTAAGGGAGTATAGTATGTATATAATTTGAGACTTCTCTCAATACTCATTGAGATGTCTTATAATAATCCTAAGTTTTCTTGAATTCTCTTGTTAGATACATTATTTAGTCAGTAAACACAATAACTAAATCAAAGCATAATACCTAGGACTTCTGTTTCTACCTGTTTTGTTCGATGAATTATTAATGAAAAACTCATTCTCTGGGATAAGGTTATTTCTCACTAATTTTTGGTGTCCTTAAGAATGTAGTATCTTTGAGAGACCATGTGGCTATTTCTTTTTTACCCTCCAGTCCTATAAGAATTTTTATTGTGTGCTATAATAATTCTCAGGGAATTTGAACAGAGAATCAGAAATATATTCGCTTTCTCCATTAGTATACCACCCTGTAGGAGATTGCTTCTGATGTGAAATTTTAGTGGATCCTTAAATATGGCATGACTGATAATTATAGTCATTATGACCTCAATAAAGAGACAATGGAAAACTCCAGTTAGGAACAGCATAAGGCCAAAGCAGAATGTTTTACCTGTAATTCATACCCACTTGCTGTTTTCCACAAATAAATTCACTTCTCATGGAGATTTTGGGTGAAGTTTAGTATCATGCAATCTTTCCTCCCCTCCGAATCACTGTGAAACAGAATGTCAGATGATCAGCTCTCAAGAGCCCCTAGATCCCAGCCAGAATTCCACAAATGTGGAGACTGATGCACCCAATACTGCTTCCCCAAGGCAAAATGAGCAGAATGCAGGAATTTCTTTGTTGTACCATGAGCTTTAGAGCAGTGATCATACCTTAAAATTTTTATATGCCCTACTTGCCTTGGATATATTATCCTAGATACCAATCTAAACATTTTCAAATATACTTTCTCTTTTCTTATTTCTCATAAACTAGAAGACTTCTAAGTTAGAGGAGTATTTAAGATATAACCCAAGGTCAGGCAACTAATGAATGTGACCATAAGGATTTAAATAAATTTCTTCAATCTAGCAGGGCCAGTTTCATCCTATTCTGCAATGGGAAGCTTTTTCAATGCTGTATGCTTCTATCTGTAGTCCTAGGTTAAAGAAAGAGCATAGAGTGATGTGCTGAGGGTTGAAAGCTCTTTGGACTACTCAAGCACCCAACCTACTTTGGTCATTACCTCCACATTATTGGGTTAATTCTATAAACTCTTCCATGCAGGCCCACAGTGACGATATCAAAGTCAGTAAACTTCACTTCCACATTCCAGTAAAGCATCATGGAAACAAAAGCATGATCCAAGTACAAGTTGATGAGACAATTAACATTCTTTCATAAAATTTGGAGTCTGACTGTAACAATTCACATGACTTTAGTCTTGAATGCTGATATCCTGGGATTCGATTGTTATTACTACTTGGTGAATTCAGACACTGAAATACCATACTTGGTCCAAGCTCCTGGGATAGCAACAAACTAAGCAGTGGTGGCAGGACTTGACTTTAGAACAGAAATCCCAAAAAAAAAAAAAAAAAAAAAAAAAACCAAAAGAATGGAGAAAACATAAAGAAATGCAGAAATGAAGTCAGCTAAGAGTACTAAAATTGTGTGTATTTTAACCCAAAGTGCAAAAAGATGGATGGAAATTGAGTTTGAGGAGCCAAGATTTTTATATTGCTGAGACTGGATTTGGGATGAGATTCCCAATATTATCGCACAATTAAATGGTTTTGAAATTGAGAGAAATCAACAGCTCATTTCCAGGCTTCATATACTGTGTCTAAAAACTCAAAACATGCTTAGGCAAAAGATACAGTGTCCTGCCCATGAAATAGGTCGTGTCATTGTACTTCCTGGGTCTGTTCACAGTTTCTTTGAGGTATTTTTCCATTTGAGTTCAGCATGTGTTACTTCAACAGTTCTGCTCTAAAAAAGACTCATCTTGGCTCTAGTCCCGTACTTTTGTCTCACTTCATAAAAAATAATAACCCTCATCTGCACCAGCACCTGGATTCTTTTGGTCCTTAGCCCAGCCTATAGTACTTTCTTTGACACTTCTCCATATCCCCGCTGGTCTTCTACATTATTTCTTGTCCATTTGTTTTTGTGGGCTGGTAAGTTCTGAGTACATAGAAATGAGGGAAATTGGGTTAAGACTGCTAGAATAGCACTGTTTCTCTAGCAGCACTGCAGCTGGGCTTCTGGGTTGTAAGTATGCTGAATACACAGGCTGGTCAAAAGGAGATTTTCTAACCTTTTTTCATGTTAATTCTTTTAAAATCTAGTATCAGCATCTTCCTACCTAATGGAAATTTCTTCTTCAAGCCTCCAGAAAAAGATTTTCTGTCAATTCTGATTTTTAGCAGTGTGATTTTAGATGGCTTTCTGGGCTTTCATTTGTATTTTTAAGTGAGAAATTAGGACCAGATACATTTAAGATAACTACCTCAGTGACACTTTAAATTACATTTTGATTATTCCCTTCTTTATATTTATAAAACACTACATATATGATGCCATCATGTTATTTTCTTAAAAATCAAATTTAAACTTAAAATTATAGATTTATTTATTAATCTAATAGAAATTATCTATGAGCTATTAGAGAGAGGGTTTAGGCACACAAAAACTTTACATGCCAAGTAAGAATCTGCGCTGTGTGGTTCTTTGAAGTCATTACCTATCCTGGCAGAGAGTTTAAACTGTACTTATAACATTAAGGTTTATTTCACTGTAGTATATAAAATTTTAAATTAAGAATATAAATGATGTGAGTTTAAAACCTAGCACCTTCACTACGGCTTCAATATATAACCACTGAAAATCTATGACTTAATTCTGTATTTTATCTATATTTCATCTATGGTGATCGTATATTAAGAATTATACTAAATTATAATCTTAACAAAAATAGTATGTTGTAAATTTTAAGGGAGTTAATCACATATTCTGCTACATATTAGTCCTGGGTTAATGTACATACAAAAATAAGCTTTGTAATGGAAGTGAGTCATTCTTTCATATTCCAAGTTGCTCTGAACTGAATTGCTGTAATCAATTTATCTTAAGCCCAATTGACAAATAATTTTAAGTATATTTTTAAAATTGGATCTTTATTAAATTAGGGCTGTTTCATCATAAATGATGGAAATTACTTTAATGACTTTGTTGATCGATTATCCTACTTAGAAAACAATTTGAGAGTTTGGTGCGTGAATATTTTGTATACTCTGTCAAAATAGATTGACCAAGTTAGTGTTAAAAACTATGTACCATTTAAAACTATGTTTGCTTTGCCATTTTCCAAATGTTTTTCCTTGCTTTCTTGTGCAGTTCTTTAAGAAGTCACTAATTGTACAAAATCTGGCTACTGAGAAAATAGCCACTTACATGCAGTAAATTTCATACCTTAAATTTTCAACAACTATTTCCAGATATAGATGAGTGCAGTGAATCGTTTGTCTGTGGCGAACACGCAGTCTGTGAAAATGTGAATGGTGGCTATCACTGCTTCTGCAAACTGGGTTATCAGACGTCCACCGGAAAGGCACAGTTCACACCAAGTGATGGTTCTTATTGTCAAGGTAATGTACATTATTAAATTTAATGTATTTTAAAAGATCTACATAAAAGCCTGGGAATATGACTCAGTGGTAGAGCTCTTGCTTTGCATGTACAAGACCCTGGATTCAATCCCAGCATTACAAAAAAAAAAAAAAAAAGACAATATAAAATATTTACTATATAGTTGGGACGCATCAAAAATCTACACTTTTGAGAAATGTGCCAGCATTTTTTATGGCTTATAAAAATTTAAGAAAAAGTCATTTTTTCTTGTTAATGAAAGATGTAAGACAGCATGTTTATGCAATTAGTATTCATTCACCGATCCTTTAAATTACCATAGTCTGTTTTACATTGACTGTAAAACATTACATGGTCTGAAACGGAATTGGAACCTCAAGCATTAAAGGGTGTGATTTCATGTTTAAAAAGGTGAAGAAAGTCACTGGGATCAATGTGATCAGCTTGGGGAAAATGGTTTTTCTAATACTATTTATGTCTTTTTCTACAGAAAGTGTAAACACAAACTGCTATTTAGATAATGCCTGTATCACTGCAAATGTCAACAAAACTTTACAAAAAGTAAGTAGACAAGTTAAATTTCTCTTGTTTTGCCATCCTGGTCTCAGTTAAAATGTTTCCAATGTCATATTCCAAAAAGTGTAACCAGTGGTTAAACTTCATGTACAGATGAAATTACTAACATATAGAGAACTAAATATTGTACTTGCATCATGGATAGAATTAATTTGGAAAATTACAAAGCATTGAAGAAGACTTTTACACATGTACTTGATGTTACTTTTACCTTATTCTAAGTACCTTACCTTAGTGTATTGTATATTTATGTTCAACATAGAAAGTTACTGAATTAAATAGTAAAAATACACTTCAACTACAGACCCATTCCCCCTTTCTAAGAAGGCATAGTGGAGTGCAACTAGATTTTTTTACTTCAAAGTGAGTACTTCAAAGAGCCAATAAAGTCAAACATTCATAAAATTATTGTCATGTGATTGCAGTTGTGGATCTCAACACAGGCAATCAACTGTCAGCTAAAATAAGTTTCTATTCGCTCACATAGTAAAGAATTTTCTTTGGTTGATTAAAATATAATGCAAATTACTATGTTACAATTTATTATTTAGAATATCAATATCTATAAGTGCTAAGGAGTTTAAATGTTAAGGTGACCTCATTGGCTAAAATATAATTCTATATTGGAGAATGGAAAGTTATTTTCAACCAATTCTTTGTATGAAAATCATCCATTCAAATATGATCAGAGTCTTTGCTGATATAACCTCTGTGCTTCCTAAGTTATTTCCCAATCTCTTGCAATAAATTCTCCTCTCAGAGCTGTATGTTATGGCTTCAGTCACCAACATCAGAATAAATTTAACAGATAAACTTTATTCTTACAAAGCTACAACAGAACTCTGAATTGCTTCCATTTTCTGTATTTCTTTTTGCTCAGCTTGGAACCATACGAGAACCTGTGACTTTCCTACAGGAAATCTATAGAAATTCTGTGACTGATATTTCACTGATGGATATAATCACATATGTAGAAATATTATCTAAATCATCCCCGTTATTAGGTTATATGAATAACACTATTTCAGACAAGGACACCCTGTCTAATTCAACTCTTACTGTGAGTATGTTTAACTTAGATATATTGATCTTTTAACTTTTCCTGTATTCATGATGAGTAGGGGATTCCAGTATTTTTAAATGTCATGCTTTTTAAAATAGGAATTTGTGAAAACCATGAATAATTTTATTCAAAAGGATACATTTAAAATTTGGGACAAATTATCTTCAAGTCACAGGAAAACCCATCTTACAAAACTGATGCATACTGCTGAGCAAGTTACCTTAAGGATTTCTCAGAACTTCCAAAAGATCACTCAGTTTGACACAAATTCATCGGATGTAGGTAAGCCCAAAGGTCAATTTCAAAGCAATAGTGTTTTCCAAACATTTTCAAGAAATAATGGGGTGAGTTTTTAATAGTGCTGAGGAAATCAGTAGTACTTCTGTCAGTGTAGAAATGAATGACAGCTCATATTACAAAAGCAATATGAGTAATATACTCTACTAGTAAAAAGGGTTAGTGACTATATATAACTGTTACATCTTTCTGACCATGGTTATCTTTGCTAATTCTTGATTAGTATTTAAATACATTTGATGTCTTGCTAGGAACTGCCTTGACCAATGATAGTTCCAGTACATTTTCTGGATATGGTATATTTAAATTTCTCTTTAGAAATCTTTTGCCTTTTGATAAGATGAAGCAACAAATATAGTAAATCAGAAAGTTTCCTGCTTCGTGCAATTTCACACTTAAAAATTTTCAGAACCTTGGATCAAATTGAAGATAACTATAAAGTCGTTCTGAGGAAACAAGATACGCAGTCTGAAATAATTGTTATGTATATCTTTATTACATTTCTGGGTCATAGCCTGCTACCAGGTAATAGATGTACAAAAACTGTTATCTCATCAAGATTCATCACTTGTCAAAATTAAGTCTGTAAGTATTGTGATTTAAAATAAGATGCTCTGTATTTCTATGCTGTTGATGTATGAAACAGTGGAATGTATTGGTAAAAAAATTATCATTCAAAATTTAATTGAATTACTCTTTAGATAAGTTAAATTATAGATAACATACTCTAAGACATTACAGATACTTGTTTTAATTCAGTAATTTAGTACACCTACCCTTGAGTACGTACATATTTTATCTTTTACTTGAGTCAACAGAGAATAAACCATGAGAACTCTACAGATATGAAAATTGTCAGATTTTTAATATATAAATTATACTGTCCAAACATGTTCAGAGTATGTTCATTTTATTTACTATCAGTAAGATTTTGAAGTACAAAAATGATGGGTGAAATTGTCTCTAAACAAATAAAAATGGTGATTATGTATATTAACTAATTTAGAGAACTGATGATTTTTATGGTTTTCTTCAGCTCTCAAAGTTTTCTTTTTTGATTCATACCCTGTGAAACATGTTCATCCCCAATTGAATATGGATGGAGATTGTATAAAAGTGTTTCCAAAGAGAAAAGCTGCCTACAACTCAGAAGGTAGGATATTAACAATCTTGCATACAGTATATCAGTGAACTTGCAATAAATACTTATTAACTTGATTATATCATAGGTATTAATATCATTTATGATTTGCTATAAAGTATATGATGTTTATAAACATAATATCAAATATGTGTATTTGAGATTTTCATTCTAATAAAATAACTCAAGAGAATTTTAGCTGACAATATCTGACTGCTGCTTCTTCATCGTGGATTTAAATTTGTGATTTTGTGAAAAAGAAAAATATAAAGAATATTTTATAGATAATAAAACTAAGATGCAGAGTTAATGGATTTGTCTCTGCACTTGCAATTAACTAGTACAATGCAAAATAGTAGAGGAGAAAGCTGACAGAAAAATCAACCAGGCAAGCTTTCCCTGTCATTTAGCTAGAGTCAAGAAAATAGCTATTATTTTAATTTAACTGTTTATCTGTTCTCTTAGAGAAATGCACTTAGAAATATCTCTGGGGTTCATAGAATTTTTGTTGTAGTTTTCTCATATAGGCAAATGTATGTATTACCTAGGAAAAACATGATTTAGAATATTTTATCAAAGAATATGTGGCTTGTCATAAACAAAATGAAAAAATATACAACATACATATATCGTCTCATGTAGAGATACTATTCTGTTAAAAGATAACTTTAAAATTAAAAAAACACAGTGTACATTCATTCTCAGAAGATTGTCATTTTGTTTTGTTTTCATTAGACTGCTATGGAATTTTTTCCTCATTCGTCAATGTTGTCTTCTCCATTTTTCCTATTGTATTCTATGTAAAACTAAAAAACATAAGATTATAAGACAAGGGGAAAACAACAGTCATAGTACCACTGAATCTCTTCTTGTTACCACTATACCATATTCTAATTTACCAAAAGCACATACAGTATTTAGAAACAAAGTCAAAGAAAACATTAAACTGTTGAAATTTCAAGTTTAAATTCAATAATGTTTAAAGTTGGGAAAAAGATGTTCAAAATACCTGTTGTGACAGATGATGAAAATTTAATATCTCAAAGCTATGCTGTCTGATTGTATGGTAGCTTTGTTATATTTAAAGATAACACGTATGCAGTGACATTTGAAAGAGAGTAATATGAGCTCTCAATATAGCAGAAGGACAAGATGTATTTTCCTCAAGGTTGGATCTTCAAAACATAGGGACGAATCTAACAAATTGATCATTTCTTCTCAATGAGACCAACATGTGGTTTCATTTATTGACAGAATTCATTTAATAAGACACATGCATTATTTAAAATACATATAATACAGTACTTTAGTAGAAATATGGGGAGGTCCATGGGGCTCTGACTGGATTCTTAATTTGTTTTATATATACTGACCTCTAGAAGAGTAGGGTGACAATAGAGAAGTTCCACATCTTTGTTTGTAAGTTACATTTGAAATTGAAATAATATTTACATGAAAAATTGAGCACCTTAAAACCCAATTGAGAGAAAAACTAAAAATAGAATTTCCATTTGACTAGTGGTACTCCTTCTGGATATATTCCTAAAAATTATTACAGTGATGCGTGCACACTATGTATAACTGCACAACTCATATTAGGTTATCTTTGAAATGTTTTATATTCCCACCAAGTAAATGAATTACTAAGTAAAATGTGGTGTATTTATACAATATTCAATCATACAGCGAGATTAGAGTCACTTCTAGGAAAATGGATGCACCTTGAGACCCTAACACTAAATTGATGTAAATCTGTCATGTGAAGCTAAGTTTCACATGATTTCTCCTACATAAGAAACCCAAAATATAAATAATCTGAAGAACAAAATAAGAGACAAGCATTAGGAAACAGAGAAGTAGATTCTATGGCGATAGGAGGGGAATTTGAGAAGTAGGGAAGATAAGGAAGTAAAACTATTTAAAATATAGTATGTATACATTTCAGTTCTTCAGTCAATGTGTCTATTATGTGATGCAAACATACACTAACAAAAACAAAATCAAAACAATTTTTAGGTTTTCTGAAAAGAAGTAACAAAAAAACAGTTCAGGAACAATGATTGTCTAAGCATTCACTGCTTAGCCCGTTTTGGGACAAGCGATCTTGAGATTTGTCATGAGGAAAATCTCAATTTCTGCCACTCTCAAAGTTTTCCAATAGTCAGGGTGAAACTCATGAATGGACCACAGTATAAAAGTGTTAATATCATTCACACCAAACAAAATAGATAAACCTATGGAAAAATGGTGAATGAGGAACCTTTAAAAAATATATGTATTAATTCTCATGTCTACAGAACTGTAACACAATTCTTTACACTACATAAATGCTTGAATGTAAGTCCTAGTCATTTAAAAGTTAAAATTGTTCTTAGATTAAAATGAGGTGATATTATCAGATTAGAAACATCATAGGGCAAATAAACTAACATAAATATTGGAAAGAGAAAGATCAGGAAGCATGGAGGGTGATTTAGTAACACATATTTCCTATTCTGTTCATATAATTTCACTTTTTAGAATCTTATTAGTAATGAACCTCTAGGGTTTTATAGAAAGGACAGATGTGTGAAGAGAGCTCAAGGCTACATTAGGCTGCAGTTAATGAGAAATCATGGGACTTTGAAGAGGTTGGAAATGTTGAGAATGAAGAAATACATGAACAGTATTCATAATGACAATCTAAAGGGACTTTGGAGCAGTCTTTGTGGAGTCCCTTGTGCTTCCCCCAAAATTAAGGTTAAGTAAATATCTCTCTTTAGATAGGACAATAATTAGTAGAGATTTAAAACCCAACTTTTTGTTCCTTCATTTGATTTTGGGCACACTCGTACTGTAATCACTGAGAAGTCACTATCATTACCTACGATAACCAAATCAGATTTCAGATCCTACTTGAGGTCCTGGTCCATCTGTAGCAAAGTCTGTGATGATTAGCATGTTTCATAGTCATAATTTCACTAACCCAACCATTTTATGTTAATGTCCATATCTCTGGCATGTTTCTTCAGCTACCATGTCAGACTCAATGTTCTATGTTGTGTGTCTGGGCTAGGCAAGGCTCTTAACATCTGTGGTGTCTTATAAAGTTCTGGAACATGAATAGTGATATAGTTTGGGAGCACCTGTTGCACAAAAATCATATCCAAGGAATACTTTTAGAGTTATTTGCAGGTTTTTAATAGTAGTCCTTTGTCTTCTGACGATATTATCAATATATGTACCTATAACACTACGTTATTGGGTTACATGCTAAAACTTTGCATCAGGGAACCAGATTATGGCTGTCTCCCAAGACAATACATTTGCTCCTTTGACACCACATCATTATATGTTATCAATATTGAGTAAGAGCCACTGCAATAAGTATAAGGCTGAACCCAGTGGCACCTAACATCTCAGTCAGTTCTAAACTTCCTTAATGCCATAAGCCTCTGATAATTCTCTCCTGGTATCTTGCCAATTCATGTGATCACATTTGGAATTACTAACTTAATGTTTTGTCTTCCACATGAATATAATTAACTCTCTGAATCACTGTCAAGATTTGGATGTAATTTATCTGGGACACCTCAGACGTAAGAGATCGCTACTGTTCATGACTAGTTTTAGATTCCTAGACATCAGACCATTTAACTCTCAATACGGTTTGACAGTGTACACCTGGGATTATTGTGACCCACACCTCATTATCTGAGGATGTCTATGAGGTCTTTAAATTTATATCTGTTCAGTTTTTTTATGTTTTTCATTTATTTTTTGTTCGTTTTTGTTTTTGTATTGTACCAGGAATCTAACGTAGGACTTTGTGCTTGCCAGACAAGCACTATATCTGTTCAGTTTTTATGTTTATTTCAAGATCTTAAATACTTTTTTGTTTTATGAGAATTTCACTAAGTGCACTGATTTTATTGGTAGGCAATGTTGCAGTTGCATTTTTATATTACAAGAATATTGGCTCCTTGCTTTCATCATCTGACAACTTCTTATTGGATCCTCAAATTTCTGACAATTCAGAAGAGCAGGAAAGGGTCATCTCTTCAGTGATTTCTGTCTCCATTAACTCAAATCCACCCACACTGTATGAACTTGAAAAAATAACATTTACATTAAGTCACATGAAGGTAAGTTGTACTTTTGGTGTTTGGGGTTAAGGTTGTGAGACATTCATAGAAGTGGACATTTTTAATGTGGTATATTAATTACATGTGAGTTTTAGAATTTAAAAGCACAGACTTAAAAATTATTGGAGTAAAGTTGTTTCAATAAATATTTCTATGAATTATCTGTATTTCCGGTGCTTTTTGAAATTTCTGATCAATATTAAAGAGCTTACATATTTGATTCTCTGAAATTGGTCTATACATTAGTTTTAAGTATACCATAATTTTTTAAATTTCCATATATTTTAGGAATGAATTATATTTTAAAAACGTATCCCATCCAAAGAGATACATGTGAATTATGTAATTAAGGAGATTTTTAGTTAATATATGTCACTAAATAACATTTGCAGGAAGTTGGGTAGTGACTAAAATAAAACCACAGAAGATTTTATAGTATTTAGTAAAGGCCATTTACTCTTATTTTTATTCTAAATTATTTTTCAAATTTAAGTGTAAAAAGCCTTCTATGATGGTGCATGCTTATAGTCCCAGTGTTTGGGGGGCAGGAAGATTGCCGTGAGTCTCAGGCCAGCCTGGTGTAGAAAGTAAGTTCAAGTCCAACCTGCACTACGTATATAAACTCTTCTCAAAGAGACAGAAAAAAAATTAAGTTTAACTAAAGCTATATAACAAAAACTATAGTTAGAACTCACCAAATATCTAGTTATTTTGTTACAAACAAATGTAGAAAGACAAAATTATTATTTGCCATTATTTTAAATTAGTATTTTCTTGGACTTTTGGCAATATTTCAGTTACAGTACCTGATCAGAATACCTCAGAAGCTCCATGAGAGAACCCTGAACCTGACCAGTTACATATATTTGTACATTTACTGTGATGGAGAGGATTTTTCTAAGCAGTAACAACATATGAGTTTACACAAAATACCAGTATGTCAGTGTTACATGAAGGCATCTAATGTAGAACCTAAATGTGTAAAATCTGGTAAGCCCTATGTGGAGAGAATAAGTGTAAATTAACTTAGATTGGATTATGAGACTGAATTATTTCCCCATAGGTTTGTCTATTTTAGTTTGTTTAGATTTCAGAATTTTTGACAATGCTACAAGTCTCTCCAACGCTGAATACATGATTGTCCATCAGCTAACCTGTGGTCTCAGAGACATCCTTGCAAAGCTTCTCCATGCTGCATCCTGTCTGGTTCCCCCTGACCTGTCACATGGCTCTCACCCTTGGTATAATGCCACCTCTCTCCTAGGTCAGACTCCATGTTTCCTCCAGCCAGTTGCTTTATCTTTCTAAGTTTATTTATATAGCTTGGTAGCCTGGTCTCCAAGAGCTGTTTGAGCAGATAAACAGCTTTGTATAGAATTACACATTATAAATTTTCTGTCTCAGAGTTTTCTAGACCTAATATGTCTTCTAACTTCTAAGCTTAACCTGGAAAAAGCGAAATCAATTAACATTTTAATCAAAATGTACAGTCTCTTGCATAAAGTCTCTCTCTGTCTCTCTCTCTGTCTCTCTCTCTGTCTCTCTCTCTGTCTCTCTCTCTCTCTCTCTCTCTCTCTCTCTCTCTCTCTCTCAAACTTTTTGTATCTAAACTATTCTTAGTATCCCAAAAATATAGTGTGAAAATGCATAGATCTCAGCTCTGGGGAATTTTCTATTATTGTTTCTTTGGTAATTTCTCTTTTTATAGGATCTCCGTTCTCTTTCTCTTTTCTATGCTTCCTATTATTTTCCAGCCCTTTTAGCCAAGCAACTAATTTATAAAATTTTTCATTCTCATTTTTTTTTGCTTATTTTTCCCTTATCTGTAATTTTTACTGGCACTCATTGATTTTTAATGTTTCATCTCTCTGAGACACTGTGTTTACTGTAAATTCTCTTCGCTGCGTCCTGCAGAGACTTGACTTCCTTTCCGTGGTCTAGTTTGCCTTGGTTGCCTTTCTTTCCTCTGACCGTGTGCTCCTGGCATCTGGTGGTTCATGGACACACACTCATGTTGGCTGATGGCACCCAGGGAGCCAGTTAGATTGTGGCAGAGAGCTGCTTCCCTAGACACTTTTCACTAGGCAGGTTCCTAACCGTGGTACTGACATAATTACAAGGTCAGTGACTAAAATCATTCATTTGAGCCAACCAATTATCTTTTCATACTTTAGGCTTGTAGCCTGGCTGTAAGGAAACCAGAAAAATGGTATGGAGGTCAGTGTATGAACAGACTGTCCCTTAACATCTTGTTTTCTGAACAACCCCACACTTCCCGCTGACTCTCCTTCCCCAGTTCTCGAGTGCTTCTGGTTTCTCTGGGATTGGACTTTTCCAACCTTTTTTGGGGGAAATTTGATCAAGTGTTTCAATTTTTTTCATACAGTTCAACCTTTTGAAACACTTCTGGCTTGTAACTGGCTTCTAGATTCTTCTAGAAAGTACCTGCTCAGTTTCACTGCAGAGCTTTCTATTTGCTGTTTCAACTGTCTGGAACTGTCTCCTCCCAAGTCAGCAAGGCTTCTCCTCACTTCACTGAAATATCTCCTAGGAAAAGTCTCCTTGAACCAACTTCCACTTCATTTTTCTCCTTACCAGTTCATATTTTTTGTTTAATTATATTTTCATCTCCAATTAAGATGTAAGGTCAACAGGGCAAGTGCCTTTTTCCATTTTGTTCAATGTTGTGTTTTCACAACATGGATAAATGGAAAATATTCAGTAAATCATACATATTTATTGCAAAAAGATATATGTTATTGTGTAATATTCTGTTCCAAATGACTTACACACATGGTCTCGTTTAATTGTGACATGGGATAGAAAATGTAGTATTGTTACAATATAAATTTCAATTCTACCACATAGCAACATCCTTTACTGATTATAATTTGTTTTAACTTTTAAGCACTGTTTTAATCATATGTGTGGTATTTTAGATATGAGTAAAGAAATAAAGTGCTGTATGTATAACTTTTTCTCTTTTTTCCATCAGTAAAATGTTTCTTTTTCAGATCACAGGGAAGGATAAGACTCAGTGTGTTTTTTGGAACTACTCATCTGATACCATGAATGGTACCTGGTCCCCAGAGGGTTGTGAAGTAACAGATTCAAATGAAACCCACACCACATGCTGCTGTAATCACCTGACACATTTTGCAATTTTGATGTCTTCTGGCTCCTCAATTGTAAGACAGTTTTTTACTTCATACATAGAAATCAATCTATGTTTATTTTTCCGTTTTTCCTATGTCATTCAAAAGAGTAAAGAATTTTCTTATTTTCCTTGGGTGTGAATAGCATATTTAATATAATTTCAATATTATACTTCTTTACATTTTATCTCTATCTTTTAGGACATATCTAGTATGGATTTAGGTTATTTCTAATTTATGATTTATGTAGTCATACTATCCATCAGATTACATGTGAAATGAAATCTTTATTCATTGTCTCTTATTTTTAAACACTGCTTTCAATAGTCATTTACAAATTTTATTATAAGGACCATTACCTTTTGTTATTGAAAGTTCATTTTTACCAGTGGCAAAGTTCCACAACCTATGTGATATCTGATCAATAAATTTTAGCATATTTACAACTAATATATTTTTCAAATTGCAGAAGCATATAAAATTTTCAAATATGGAATATATGTACTATGCATAACTTCATAATCCGTATCTTACTTCAGTAATATCTTGTTTATATTATATAATTATATAATCCCTTATTTTATGTCTCTGTCACAGTGCTCACCAGATTGTAAATTTACTTCCATACATACTTACAATCCATTATTAAGTTGATAAAATGTCCTAGTAAATCTGCATGAAAGAAAATAAAGATGATTTTTTTCAGGATATTAATCAATCAAAGTAGCCTCTATTCTGAACATGAAAGTAAATGGTGTTCTAGTTAGAAAAAAAGTATTTCCCATTTCAAAATCTGTGAAATACACCATTTTGGTGTTCTACACATTCAACTTTTCTCATACCTTTGTTTAATGTATTTTAGATGAATCACTGCATAAAAATAAGACTTGAACATACTACTGAAAAATGTTTTAATTAATGATTTTCCCATTAGAATAATGAATTACCTTTCCAATATCATGAAGCCAATGGTGATAACCATATACTATTAAACTATATACTAATAAATACTATGCTGAGAGAGGGAAAAAATCCCTAAAGACAGTGCTGCTAAAGTGCTACATGATTTATGTTAGACTTTTCTCAGTATTGAGGATTTTCAAAATTAGAAAAAATTTCTCATCTAAGTGCACATTTGTAGTTTTACCTTTTATGAACATTTTGATGAATGCCTCACCAAAAAAAGAAGTTCATTACACGTTATAGTTCATGTGACAAGTGGCTGAGTTATTCTCTTAACAGCTTTATTATTATTTTCCCTTAGGGTGTTAAAGACTATAATATTCTTACAAGGATCACCCAGCTAGGAATAATTATTTCACTGATTTGTCTTGCCATATGTATTTTTACCTTCTGGTTCTTCAGTGAAATTCAAAGCACCAGGACAACAATTCACAAAAATCTCTGCTGTAGCCTGTTCCTTGCTGAACTTGTTTTTCTCATTGGGATTAATATAAATACTAATAAGGTACGTAGACCCTACTACTCTCTATTTTATTTTCTATTTTTGCACTTTTCTAAACATGCATCTTGGAAAAGTAAGTTGGAACCAACATACAATAGAATTTTTCTTAAGCTATCTTTTCAAAGTTTGATAACACTAACAGATATAATCAACCCACTTCTGAGTCTGTTAACCCAAAATTTCTCTTTATGATGAATTAATGGAGTAAATTAAAACTTGGGAAACTTTAAAGAAATGCTTGTTTTGTTTTTAGATGGGCATTACATAAAGATTGCAGAGAGTGGACTGGAAATAAAGTTTAACTTATGATACAGATTGAACAGAAAAGCTGCTAGATTTATAGGATGAAACATGATAAATCATCTTTACCTGATTTTTGCACTTTCTTAAATACTCCATTTCCCATGATTTTTGATCTCGGGCCTTATCGCAAAGTGTCATATTGTGATAATCTCTGTCTTCCTGGAAACAGACACTAAGACGGGGTTAAGCATAGAGTAAGTCTATTAGAAGTACCTGTAAGAGAAAAGGGAATAGAAGGCTAGGAAAGCCAGCAGAAATGATGCAGATCATGTGAGCAGTTCAAGTGAAGGAGAGAGGGAGGAAAAGAAGAATGGATGGAGAGGTTACACACCCCTGCAGCTCTAAGCAAAGCTCAGCACTGCTTTCGAGGAGCCTTCTGGCAAATCCTTGAGCTAGCGTCACCTGGCAGAGGAGTCCTCTTGTCTCTCAAGGAGCAGGGATTTCTCAGTAAGTCGCCTGTGTTCAGTGACTCGCTGGCAGCATCCTGTGAGACCCGAGAACTGCAGTGGGTGACACACAGCAGCAGCCCCTGCCCGCTAATCAGGGCTCTCCTCAGACACACAGATCACAGAAATGTCCTGTCTCAGCCATAGACCTGAAAGGGCCTTGGTATTTCCATTCTTCTCATAAATCCTTAAGGAAATAACAGTCAAGTTTTCCTCTGAAATGCATAACACAAAACATTTCTTTTAAACATGTAACATATGCAGAACTGTAGACAGTAGGATTAGTAATTCCTCTAAATTTTACCTCACACAAAATTCCAGGGCTTATTTTCTCTTTCAATTCCTCCCTTCATCTTTGCTTCAAAAACTATTCTTTCAAGTGTTTATTTTCAATTCTCACTTATTAAACTATTCCTATTTTGAAGCCATCATTCAACTCTTACTTATAGCTCCCCAATTTTAACCGCCAGTGACCTTTCTGGTTCTCAACTATAGCAAGTACTCTCCAGTGTATTTCAATGTGCAATCTGATTCTTGCATTATATTGTTTTAACAAGTGGGATAGGTAAAGTGCCTTATATTGTCTCTCTGATGAAAGTTCTTATTTGTTCTGGAAAGAAAGGGATATATAAGTACTTCTTTTTCTGTTCTTTTCTGTTCTCTAATCTTAGAGTCTAGCTTTAGCCTAACTCTAGTTTTGTTGTGAAGTCATAATGTTTAACTGAACCTATTTCAAATTTGCTTACTAATCTTACCACCTAAAGCAACTCTACAAAGGATATCTAGGTAAAACATATCACTTAGCTATTCTATAAATTCAGTTTTGTCACTTAATCAAGAGATATAATGTTCTTTTGCTTACCACCATTTTACCATTCATTTTCATTCTGTAGTATGAATAAAAGAGAGGCAAAATCGCTTCATAAAGTAATAAACCAAAATCAAATCACATGCAAAAGATACTGTATTTGATATGTGAGTGATATGGTTTATCACATCATGACAAATCTCTGGACAAGGGTAGTAAGGGTGATTCTAGTGCAGGATTGAATAATGCTTAACACTGAAGAACCCCAAATTTTTAAAATCAGAAGTAGTAGTGCATCTTTAAAAACTGACATGACACAAATATTTTAATGTGAGCATACATTTGATAGCATAATTCATGGAAAAGTTGAGATTTTTATTGTGTACAGTTAAGCAAACATCGCTTACAGTTTCTTTCTTTGATTTCTAGCTCTTCTGTTCAATTATCGCTGGACTACTACATTATTTCTTTTTAGCTGCTTTTGCGTGGATGTGCATTGAAGGAATACACCTCTATCTTATTGTTGTGGGAGTCATCTACAACAAGGGATTTTTGCACAAGAATTTTTATGTCTTTGGCTATCTCAGCCCAGCTGTGGTAGTTGGATTCTCAGCGTCATTAGGATACAGATATTATGGCACCACTAAAGTGTAAGTTAAGATGATTTCTTGAGCATTAAATACAATTCTGTATATATTTTGCATATCCTTGAGAATATTGCTGTAAAGTAAATAGAAACTTACTTATGAATTTTATTTATTTACTTTCTAGGTGTTGGCTTAGCACAGAAAACAACTTTATTTGGAGTTTTATAGGACCAGCATGTCTAATCATTCTTGTAAGTATATAGAAAATTGTTGTTAAAATTCAAAAGAGCTATGATGAAAGTGTGCTTAAAATTCCCAGAAACCAGGCATTATATTTTTTTAAAAAATAGCTTGGAACACTGCAGTGTGTCATGTGTTAACATTTTACAAAATTGCATTGTGACTGAGAAAAAACAGAGAGCTTCTTAATTCCATGCAATTTAATTTATTTGGATCCTTTTAAAGAGGGATAAATTTTTGCCTAATGTAAAAAAAGCATTCTTCACTCATCAGTAGTGTATCAGCATACTTCAGTATTGAAAGTGTGCTGACCAACTGATAATCTGGTATTTCAGATGTTTATGTTATTTAATCTTTTATCGATGATCAGTCATCTTTGAAGATTAGACTGTCATCTTTACAGTTTTATCATCTTTATGTACCCTGTCATCACAAGGTGATTTTAACCCAAATTGCAACGTCAGAGACAAGAACCCACTATTTCTCATGGGCAGACAAGTCGTAAATATATTGATAGTCCTATTTCAGCAAGGAAGAGGGCCTTTTAATTCTTATTGAAAGTGGTTTCAAACCTACAAATTTGGCAGGTATTATATGTTCCATTCTAAATAAAGACATTTTTATACGTCTCAAGAGCATTTCTAAGTGCTGAAAGTTTTCAGCAGCCATTCTGAATATAATAGTCCATCAATGAATCTGGGAGGTCTGACAAGACTCTAGAATGGAATGAATTGTGAGTGCAGGAATTGTGACAATATTGTGGACAACTTTCTTCCATATATTTTGAACATAAACGAGCCGTCTCTTCTGAATTTGCCTGTTCTGTTTTACTGTATTCTCTTGAGTTTTTGATGGTTGAGAGGGAGCTGCTAAGAGGAGAAAGACTTGAAATGCAGAGCAGAGAATTTTCATCAGGCTTTATTTTTTAATAGCAGGGGTAAAATCAAGTACATTCAAAAACTTACACTTCCTAATCATGGAAAATTGTTTCTAATTCTCATAATTAATCCAGCAATACTTTGTAAAACCACTGGCTAGATTTCAGCTAAAACAATTTGAGCTCATTTATTATAACTCCAGTATTTTCAGCCTCCATGAGAATGCAGACTGAATGGTCTCCCATTTACGCATCTAAACTGGTGGCTCTGCTCAGAGTACTCGAAGAGAAGATGCTCTAAGCATTCTAATTTTACTGATTCCCTCATGAAAGGAGGAATCATCTCTGATACCGTTTTGTGTAAGTAAAAGTTCTGTGGAACAAAGATTCTGAGCTTGGATGAAAAACAAACTAGAGATTGCAATAAAACAGAATATGTGAGCCTGTTTCTCTAAGTAACAAAGAGAAAGTGTTTTATGAAATCCTCTTTGACATGGACTTCTACAAGACACACTTAATTTTGGGTTATTGCACAGTAAGGTACATAGTCTATAGATGGAATTATGTTTAAAAAGTCTTACAAATTTTCTAAATGAACATCATTATACTGTTTTAGTCTGGAATTAATGGATCAACTTATCTTCTGTACAGTTTCAGTGTGATAGTCATTCCCACGTTAAACAAAAGATCAAGTTACTTAAGAAATGGATGAAACATCTCAATTTCACTTTAAAACTAAATACTACTTGTATTTATAATGTGTTTTAAAATGGCAGGAACTCTTTCATTATTGAACCAAAATGAGTTAATTAACTCTACTTTCTCTATACTAATGTTGGCATATTATTATTGTTAGTGTTATTATTGTAAATCTGAAAAACATGATGTTAAAATACAGTTTTCCTCTAGCTCAAACATAAAATCAAAGACACTGAAGACTACTTTTGGCCTGGCACTTACCCCTAGTCTTACAGAGAGGCACTCGGACCAGCTTCAGCTCAGTAAGATGACTGGAGAGTGAGTTTCAAAGAGTGGTGACCCAGTGTTAGGGAGGTGTGCCCTTGGGAGAATACAGTGTTTTCTGTTAGAAGTTTTGCTTTTTCCCTGGCAATGAGAAAGAAAGATAGTGCTGCTCCCCCATCTCCTGAAGACACTGGGGAGCAATATGCCAAAGGGTTTGTAGAAAGAATAATCAGAAACAGTAAGAGGAAAGCTATCATTCTGACTCCAGGTTGCTAGATGACTTTAGAATTTTTGTATCTTTTTGCTACACAGAAGAGCAGAGCATGATGAAGAGAGTTTTATGAGTTTGACTTAAATCTCCTGATTTGAGGCCAAGTATGAACACAGTAGCTAGCACCTGCTTTTGCTTAGAATTTCCTCTAGGCTGCTTGCTTACTAGAATATCCCTCAACAGCAAGGGAGAAAGGAATTATTATACCATGGGCCTAGGAATCAAATGATGGGAAAACACACAAAACCTTAGTTGTTCTATGAGCACAGGAAGGCTAGAGGAGTGAAAACAATACAGAAGCCTTCCCAGGTCTAATGAAGTTATATACAACTAGGAAAATGGGCTAAGAATTATTAATAGGCCAAGGTGGAAATGAAATAATATAAATGCCAAAAGTATGATCTAGAACATCACCTGGAGGTCATTGTGTAAGCCATAAATATCAGCAGTATCAAGGACCAAACTAAACTAAAGTGATGTAGTGAACTTCCTCTCACTGCCAGCAGATGATCAGATCCTTCTGGCCCCCAAGAGCTAAGGAGTAGAGTTGAGGCAATAGAGAGACTGTATCCCAGAACCAACCACGCTGCCCCAAACACATGGACATGGACATAAACACTGGTCCATCAAAGTTCTGTAATGAAAACTGAAGTAAAGACTATATATGGTTTTTATAATATAAAATTATTAGAAGCTGTGCCAAATAGATTTATGTCATTACCTTTAGGGGAAAAAATAAATTTTTCTCTTAAAAAATATTTGCTAAGTAAAGATTACTTTCTAAATTATATTCAGATATTCAAATAGATTACCACTTTCCATTTTGGAAAATCATGGTATGCTTGGTAATATTCTGGTAGTTAAGGATACTAAGCCATGCAATTAGGTTCAACATGGTAACTGGATTCTCTGAAAATGACAACAGTCAAAAGGAAATATAAGAATTGTTCCTGCCTACTATACTATCAAGAAGAAAACAAGTCAAAACAAATGGCAAGAAGCAATATAGTTTAAATATTAAGTGACACTGATGAGATAGGAGAGAGGTCAGCATGGCTTCCCTCATCGTTCAGCCAGGCTGAAGCAGGAGGAGAACCTGTTGATGGATGTAGCAAGAAGCGAAGTTTGCTTTATAGGGTAGGGAATGGGCAGAGAATTCACAGCATGAACTTTAATTTCTGTCAGTCAATTGCTAGAAACTTTGGAGCGAGGAAAAAGGGCACAAGAAAAAATAGCATTGAAAACCTGTCAATGCCAAAAATACTAAAGTACCATCTTTGTTCTATTAATAATGGGTTCCAAGAATTATGTAAAATTACACTCTTTAATCCAGACTGTTAATAGTGACTCATCAGATTTTTACCTACTTAAGAATAACTTACATATTGCTTCTCCATTTTTTTAAATTTTAATTTTATTTTTTTTTTATTTAAAAGGAAAAAGAGAAAAAAAGCAGAACAAAACAAAACAGTGTAAGGGTACAAATAATACAGAACTACAAAAAAAAAAAACAGTAAGCTATAGTCCGACCTTTACGGCCCATCAGTAGTTTTCTGGTATTGCTAACAATAAGAGTTTTTTAAATCTGCAGTTTATTGAATACCCACCACTTTTGAAACATCTGGCTAAGACTTTAATATGGAATTTGCTTAAATCAGTCATATTTTTATTACCTAATTTTAGAGTTCACAAAAAGACAGTTTGATTCAAGATGTTATGTGCTTGGCCTAAAATTATAAGTTTACACATAAATGTTGGACCTAGTGTTTGCAATCGTTTCTTATTGTAATCTAAAATTCAACTCTCATTTTGTTATATTGCTTCTTATGCAATCACCTTTGACCTACTTTTCTGCTATTATTCTTTCTCATTTTATGTAATCTACCCAGAATAAAGTGCCCTCAAGTACATCAGATAGTGGGAACTATTCATAATAACAACAAAAATTAAACCCTCGTATTTATGGGGCTGGTATATAAGTATTTTCCATGTATTGGAGCACTTAATTTAATCCTTAAATATCCTAGTAAGAATTGTGTGTGGGTGGAGGTTGTATGTGTATGTGTGATTTATTTTGAAAGAGGATAAATTGAGTATAGAGTGCACTTACTCAAAAGATAGTAAGTGTCTTAGCTGGACTCCCACTCCTGGATTTTCCTGCTTTCCAAATTCTAGGGCTGATAGTTCTCATTTGCCTGTAATCCAAATGGTCTTGGTTGTAAAATAAAGTTTGCAGTAATCCAGCTAAAGCTTGCCTATTTTCATCCTTATGTCTCACTATATAGCTTCACACCACGACTGCTCCACATACTTCATCCTTGTTATTATACTTGCTGTCCCTTGGATATTTCCTTAGCCCTCTGCACTCAGTAAGCCAAAGCTTATGCAAAGCTTTACTGTTAGAATCTTATTAATTAGTGCACAAAGACGTGGAAACCTTTCCAGCTTTGTAACTAATCTCTTTCTCCAGGATACTCCCATAGGTTTGATTGTAAATCTACATACTACTTTTAGAACACTGTTTTGTCACAAATGATAGTTATCTGCATGCATTACACTACTTTTTGTTCACCCTAGCACATAGAAGCACCATGTAATTCCTTAGTAGTTATGTGTGCACTTTAATTGATCCATTATAAAACCACAGTATTACATGATGCAGCAAGAAAGGTCGTGTGATCTTTCTTAAACTATTTAACTACTATTTACCCTAGATTCCTATCATATAAATGAAAATAACAATGCCAGCCCAATACAACAAGGATACTGTAAAAGGAAAAATACATTTATAAAAGCATTCACTTTTTGACAGTTAAAAAAAATGCACAATAATTTTGAAGACAATCTTGTATTCCTATTTGTTCTGTATTAAAAATTAACCAGAATTCGCAGCTAAAATT